CTAAATCATTCAGTAGTTTTTTAGGAGTATTTTTAGTTAAATTAAAACCGGTAGTTGTGTTGCCATTAAAAAATATATTCTTAAACTCATCCAAAAGACAAATTTGCTTTTAAAGCGGGTATTTTAAGATTTATTTTCTTAGTTTTTTAACTTCAAAGAAAATCATCGAGCTTCTTTTTTAGTAAGAGTTAAAAATATATTAATGATTGATTCACTAACTGGTATTACTAGTATTAAAGATATTTATCAGAGTTCAGAATCCCTAAGTAAATTAGCAAAAATCAAAGTTGGTGGATGAGTAAAATCAGTTCGGCAAAATAAATTTATTGAGCTTAACGATGGTTCTTGTTTATCGAATTTACAAGTCGTTTGTCCTCCCGACTTAGCCGAAAAAATAAAACAAATCAATTTTGGCAGTAGTTTAATAGTAAATGGAAAGTTAAAATTAACTCCTGAACGAGCCCAAAGTTGTGAATTACAAGTCCGAGAAATTGAATTTATTAATCCGAGTGCTGGCGATTATCCTCTCCAAAAAAAAAGCATTCCATTAGAGATAGTTCGAGAGTATCCTCATTTAAGAGCCAAAACTAATTATTTTTTAACACTTTTTCGTTTAAGACATTCAATTAGCAAAGCAATTCATGATTTTTTTCACCAAGAGAATTTTTACTATGTTCCCACTCCCATCATTACTAGTGATGATGCCGAGGGGGCCGGAGAGCTTTTTAATATCACTACTAAGGAAAAAGAGGCTTTTTTTTCCAAACCAACCACTTTAACTGTTAGTGGTCAATTGCAAGCTGAAGCCTTAACCCAAGGGCTAGGTAAAGTCTACACTTTCGCTCCCTGTTTTCGTGCCGAAAAATCCCACACTACTCGTCATCTAGCCGAGTTTTGAATGATTGAACCAGAAATGGCTTTTACTGATTTAGAAACAATAATTAACTTAGCAAAAAGGCTGGTAAAAGACGTGATTAATTACATTATTACCAATAATATTAAAGAACTAGAATTTTTAGAAAACTATAATAGAAAAGAAACAATTAATAAACTAAAAAGAATTCTTAATAATGACTTTAGAGAAGTTGACTACAGCGAAGGTATTGAAATATTAAAAAAAAACCAACAAAAATTTGTCTTTAACGCTATCAAATGAGGAATGGATTTACAATCTGAACACGAGAAGTATTTATGTCAATATTTTGATAATAGTCCGGTTTTTATTACTAATTATCCAACAGATTTAAAGGCTTTTTATATGAAAAATAACCCCGATGAAAAAACTGTGGCCTGTTTTGATTTATTACTTCCAGAAATTGGCGAACTGATTGGCGGAAGTATGCGCGAAAATTCTTACGATATTCTAAAAGAAAAAGCTCAAAAAATAGGCTTAGATACTAATAATTTAAATTGATATTTAGACTTAAGGAAGTATGGTTATGCACCAAGTGGTGGATTTGGGCTAGGTTTAGAAAGATTAATAATGTTTATTAGTGGCACCGAAAACATTCGCGATACGATTGCTTTCCCCCGCTATTCGTCTTAAGAAATTTACAAAACACTAGCATAAATTGTAATTTTGTTGTTGTTCACATAATACTCTTGACTAATGCTAATTATTGATTGATGAGGTGTGAGGTTATATTTTGAATGCAGAACTGACTAGTTTCATAAGAAAATTTTACAACAACGGTACAAACCTAACCGGTATAAGTCTTTCTTGTTTGATTTTATTTTCCATCAATTTACTTAATAAAATTAAATATTGTTCTCCGTCGCTTAACTCCAACGGTAAAATCATTTTGCCCCCCATTTTTAGTTGTCCAACCAGTAAAGAAGGTATTTCTTGAGCCACCGCGGTGACAATAATTTTGTTAAATGGAGTCTGTTCAGGTCAACCTTTTTTACCATCTCCAATTTTATAGTGAATATTGTGAAAACCTAATTTGTTTAACACCAGTTGGGCTTGTCGGGAAAGTTTAGCATAAGTTTCAATGGTATATACTTGGTGGGTTAATTGGGCTAACACCCCCGTTTGAAATCCGCTACCTGTTCCTATTTCCAACACCTTATCAGTTTTTTTTAGTTCTAATTTTTCGGTCATATAAACCACAATAAAAGGCTGAGAAATAGTTTGGCCACAACCAATTGGTAAAGGGGAATTCTCATAAGCTATTTGGCAATATTGGTCAGACACAAATAACTCTCGTGGCAAATGGCGAATTACTCGAAGAATCTTTTTATTAGTTATGCCCTGAGTCTCTAATTGTTGCTTTGGTTTTTGTTCTAACTTAGCAATCTTATTTTGCAACTGTTCAATCTCTTTATCCTTTTGTTCGGTTATTTCTTTAATTTGTCTTTCTCGTCACTCTTTAGTCTTTTCAAGAGCTTTGACAGCTTCTTCTCTTTCCATGGCTAATTCATTACGCAATTCTTTAACTTCTTTATTTTCACTTGATTTAGTTAATTTTGCTACTTTGAGTTGGTGAGGATTTTCTTTTTTTCAGTTTTGAAGAAGAGTAGCAAAATTACCATTAGTAGGTCGTTGATGATTATATTCATAATTAGGATAATCACCATAATTCTTATTTGTATATCTATTATTTTGACATACTAATGATGAAAGATTATTGTTACTTTTATCAAACGCATATGTCGTGCTACCACCAGTGCTAGATGTGCCAGCACTATAAGTAAAATAATCTTTCTTTGGTATAAATTTACCTCTTAATTTTCATTCAATTTCTTCCACTCGCTGTCCTTTCCCCGCTTCGCTAGAACAATAAAATTCGCTAAGAGTATCCGATAAATATTCCCATTCACTTTCTATACTGGTAAAAGAAATGTTAAGTTTTTTCAAATTATTCATATGATTTAGTGGTCTCAGCGAACCAACAAAACCATTGGTATTCAAGTCTAGATTTTCTAATTTAGTCAGATGTGCTAGAAAAATTAAAACTTGATCTTGAAATTTATTATTATTAATGCTTAATTCCTTTAGTTCTACATTATTATCTAAGTCAAGTGCAGTTAAAAGATTGTTAGAACAATCGAACTTTTCTAAACTAGGACATCCGGAGATATCCAAAGAAGTTAGTTGATTTTTGGAGCAGTTTAGTTCTAAAAGATTTTCTAATTCGCCAAGATTCAATTTAACTAACTTGTTATCGTTGCAATAAATTTTTTCCAAATTTGGACAACCGCTAGTTTCCAACTCTGATAATTGATTATTTTGGCATTCTAGACTAGCAAGTTTATTTAACTCGCCAAGTTGTAGTTCAGTTAATTGATTTTCAGAACAATAAAGTTCTTTTAGATTTGGAAAAACTTTGAGGTCTAATTTATCAAGTTTGTTTTTTGAGCAATGGATTATTTTTAGATTAGGGCAATCTTTAATAACTAAATTGGTTAATTGATTATTTCCACAGTCTAGTTCGATAAGGTTTGTTAGTTTTTCAAGTTTTAAACCTGTTAATCTATTATCTGAACAATCGATCTTTTCTAAATTAGGACAGTTAATTAACTCTACTTGAGTAAGTTGGTTTTTAGAACAATTAAAATTTTTAAGATTAGTAAAATCTTCAATTTTTAAAGAACCTTGTAAATCTCTTGCTTGTTCTTTAATGTTTAGATTATTAATATTTTTTTTTCGATTTTCTGTTAGATAGTTTTTATCCAGTCATTCTTGGGCGTTTACCATATTGTTATTAAATTTAGGTTATTTATTTTGTTTAGAAATTAAAATTTTACAATCACTAAAAGCCTTTAAACCCCAATATCTAAGAACTAGTGATTGATTTAATTATCCCTATCAGATACCTCTCTATTGCTTTCTCTATAGACATGTTTTTATTTATAATCATCATATGGATGCTTATTACTTTTATAGTAAATTCACTCTATAGATAAAGTTTTAATTATATTATTATTAAGAACAATACCTAAACTAATATTTAATAAAAAATTTGTCTTTGTTAAAATAGAGTAAGGGGGGGGTTGTTAAAGTCCACAAGTCAAAAACACTATATAATTTAATTTCATAAAGAGCAATAAGAAATAATATAAAAAAAGCAAAATATGACTAAAAAAACCCGGAACACTAAAAGAAAGAAAAAGAAGCAACCTTTACGAAGAGGCGAAGAACATACTAAAAAAAAATAATTTTATGCCAAAAAAGGAGAAAAAAAATTATCCAATCTAAACCAACTCATAAATCTAACTTGCTAAAAAATAAACCGAGTAAGAAAAAGAAAA